TTTTAGCTCAGATACGCCAAATAGAGCTCTAATGTGACGAATATTTTGTACAAACATACTTGCGGGTAAAGTTTTGTAGACATTTTCTAATTGATTTAATGCATTCAAGAAAAAAGTTCTTTTTAGGACAATCAAGTTCCTATTTCTTTGCGTCATAAAATACATCAGCATTTTCATATACATATGCATATATTGTATGACAGTGTATAACAAAATGAGAGTATGCATGTCTTCTTTTATTGCTCAAAAAACTAAAGAGTGTTTAAGTGATAAAACATTCCATAGTCTCTTTTGATGAGACTTTTTTTTTAAATTTTCAAATTTAAAATAATCTAAAGTATATTACCTAATTCTACAAAAAATACCAGCAAAGGGAAAAGATATTGATCGCCCCTTCATTTAAAGAACCATAAAGTTCGAAGTCGAAGTTCATAGCTATAAAATCGTTGTTCATGAAATAGTATTTACAAATTAGAACTTGATTTAAAGTGAAAGCATTTACCAAAGTCAAACGTACGGGGGGGGGGGGGGCAAAAATCAGATTATGCCAAATTCACACAATTTTGCACTAATTTCATACTCATTGTATGTGTTTTAAAAATCTTGTCGAATGACGTGTCTTTGCTGGAAAGGAAACGGTACTTTTCTAAATAAAGAAAAATTATTCCTGCTTCTTATGGTCCATGCGTATGTTGCAAACCAAGCAAAACTGGTTGTGGCCGAAAAGAAATTACTAAATTTGGGTGCGGTTTTTGTTAAAAATTAATTGAATTGAAATGGTTTTTCTAAATTCTTTTCAAAATCATTAAAATCATTTTTGAATAAAGTTATTCGCACAATCAAATTTTTATCCTAATCGTAAGTTTTTCTGGTTTCCGATCTTACAGGATGGGTCTGCATGTCCAACGATATCAACGTCAACACCTTTTAGTTAACCTGTGTGAGTCAGTTAGTAAGTTATATCCGACTCTAATGTAGTGGAGATCTTCTTGTTGGAGCCCCGTAAAGCTCAACAGAGTTGATATGAGCAACGCAAGGTACAATGTATACATTCTTAATTACCTATTACCTAAATTACATTTCAAAAGTCAGTGTGATTTTGTGACTGTTTCTCATCTGTAGTTCAAATTAAAAAGAATTTTTATTTTAATTGACTTTATCATAAATATACAGATAAGTTAAATTTAACGAGGCTGAGTCTAATTATTTCTGCCCTAGGGATTTTGATAATTTTTTTTTTATAATTGATTTTTACTGTTATATTTATTGTTTTAAGATTAAAAAATCGAATGTTTACCATCCCGATTTCTTAGGGGACGTCTCAAAAGTTGTCAAATTTTACTATAGGACCCTATGGGAATTTGTTGGAAAAGCGCCAAATTATCACATTTTTTCCATATTTTTTGTATTTCTGCCATAGCGATTTCTTTTTCATTCAAGTAGATGAAAGTTATAGTAAAAAGTCACGAATTTGTGAAATTTCAAAAAAGTTCACCTTCTAGGTTGGTCTAGGAATATTAATTAATACTAGTAAGTTTATTTTTTCAAACCCAATACCTCTAAATTGCCATATTACGGTATAAATACTTATCAGTGCAGATGAATTATCGGCGCAGATATAATTTCGGTAAAAATAGTAAAGTTTAGATTACTAGTATGTTTCTTAGGATGTTCTGTCATCAGTTTTTAGTATAAAATCCATGGACGCTTTGAACATACAAGCGAGTCATGCGTCATTTTTCAGCGTTATGCATTGCTTACAAAATACGAAAATGGTCACGTCGTTAGAGCTATTTCAGCGTTTTTTCCTAATTATTGTCGTAAAATCACATTTACAAACTAGTAGGGGTTACAGATAATGTTAATTTTGTATTAAAATCAAAATATTTGGCAAAGATGCACTGTCGCACAAATGGCTGCATGAAGTTAAAAAGCTGCGCAAAGTCATACGCACTCGAATTAGACTCGGCCTCGTTAAGCTAACTTTTTTTAAAATCTGAACCTAAGAGACGAGAAAAGTTTTTCGTATGACAGTTATTCAACATAACCCCCTTTCGCCTTGAAATCACTTTCGATGAATGTGACGACTTACACAATTGGAAGGCTATAATGGTTTTATCTTTATCAATAAACGTTGAACATAATACTTATTCTATTGTAAGAAGTAATCCACTTATTACATACAGATCAAACTAAAAACACAGAAGTTATCAAATATTTATTAAAAGCACACCTCGATGAATATTTACTTTGCATAAGCTTACGAAAGTTTTGCACCAAATAATTGCTCTTAAAATCATTTACACTTGTAGATATACATTATTAGAGGCCTTTCATTCAACAACTAAATATCTTTACATCACTTGCGCCATCTTTAGCATCATTATTACATGTGCATATTAAGTGAAAGAAGGCTTCCAGTTCCACGAACTTTAATCTGGCTACTCGTTCGAAAAATCTGACAAACAGCATTCCCGACACCATGGTTTACTATGTTCTATCCATGGTTACAAAAAAAATTAGCAACACCCTCAAAATTTTCTTTATGCTTTCTATCTGTTTATAAGGATTTTAAGATATATAAATTGACAGTTTCGACTCTCCATGTCTTTCTACACAATGGCAATGTTTAGTAACATTGTGCCCTATTGAGACTGCAGCTCTATTGGTTTGTACTTTAAATAAAGGAAGAGAAAAGTTGGGACTAGAAACTTAACAACAGCAATAAATAGAATTATGATCCTTGATTGACTGTCTTTTTGTGGCAAGACTGCAATAAGATTACAACTGTAAGAGTTTTTAATCAAATTTACAGAATTTTCCATTTTAGTTACCATGACATCTTTCATCAAAATAAAAAATAAAGACAATTATGTATCTGCGTGTAGACTACTTGCATGCCAAATTATACTATAATCCGACTTAAACTGTATTTGTAGTAGCATTTTAAAAGTATTTTACAGAATTTTTTTATTTTAGTAACAACGGCAACACCGTTTATTGAAATCAAAAACATATACACAGATTTATGTATCTTAGTGTAGTCGACTTTGTGCCAAGTTATATTGAAATCAGACCAAAAACTGTAGGAGGAGTAGCATTTTGAAAGTATTTCACAAACAATTCTATTTTTAGTAACCACGACAACACTTCAGCAAAAACTGATTCAAAAAGTTATGATTCTTAGTGTAGTCTGCTTGTGTGTCAAGTTTTATTGAAATCAGATCAAAACTGTAGAAGTAGGATTTTGAAAGACAGACAGACGGACGGACTACGGACACATTACTATTGCTTAAGCTCATCTGGTCACTGACCAGAAGAGCTAAAAACTAAGACACAAATTGTGTGTAACTTTACTGTGTTATCATTACAACAACGTCATAACTTGTGTAAAATTGTTTCAAATATGAACACCCTGTCATATCATTATGTCTTTCAAAAGTAATCACCAAAGAAAAATGTTTTGAAATTTGGGTCAAACATGAAGATAAGGGCCAAGTAAAAAAATCATAATATGTTTGGAAACATCACGTTATACATCTGTGAAAAGTGAAAGGTTTTACATATATTGCAAAGGTTAATTTGTATAAAATTAGGCCAAAATCCAAGACGAAGGTCAAAATTGTGAAAATCCAATAGAAGGAATACACATGTGAAATAGGAATATCTTCTAATAACTGTTTATAAGAAATGGACAACGTTAAAGTTTTGAAAGTTTTGCAAAACATTGAATCAAATTCAAAAGGTCAAAAGATAAAAAAATGTTGGTTACTTTGTACCCAAAGAAATTTCTTGTCACGAAGCATACACCTATAAAATATATCAAGAGTTATGGCCTAGATTAATTTTGCCCACAAACAGACATATAAACGGATGGACAGAGCAAAAACTTTAGGTCTATAAATCTTCTATTACAGAGTGTAAAAAGATACATGTATACCAAATTCCATACATGTACGCATATGTTTTTATTTGTCCTTTTAAAATCAGGGCAAATATATTGAATTTAATCTTTATTGTATGTGAATGTTATTGCTTGGAGTTGAGTGTTCCTCAGAAATTGTAAAGGTCATATAATCTGGCGTCCTTCTATTGGCAAACAAAAATCTGAAATGAAAATGTGATTTTTATTTTCATACTCATTAAATATTCAATTAATTTTCTAAAATTATTGTAAAGTTTGAAAAGGTTCATTTAAATGTAAAATCAAGGACTACATGAAATAGAAATTTACCAATTTGTCTGCCTCAAATAATCTTGAATAATGTTAAAAAGACTTAATTTTTATTGTCAAATTGATTCTTTCAAATACCTTATATTTTGTCAACTAAAATTACACTGCCTATCTTAACCAAACAATGAATTTTCGTTACTTACAACGACTTTGTCAGCAAATCGATTTATCATTGAATTAAATGCTGATTGACGTTTCTCATACTCATTGTTAGTGTATTATTTACACACTGAATTGAAGACGGATTTTCCCGTTATTTCCTGATCATGACAAGGAGCACTCATCGGATGTGACCGGTCGGCAGGGGATGCTCACTCCTCCATGGTACCTGATCCCACCTTATGTTTTTGGAGGTCCGTGTTTGCTCTGCTCCTATTTTGTTTTGTTTTATGGACTTCTGACCTTGAATACTGTTCGTTATCTCCCTATATTTCACTATAAAGTGTGTAACTAACAACGTTTAATAAACCATATGTGTACATATATTTTCATATTGTCTGCATTGCAAATAATATCCAACCTGTAAATTATAGCTGCCACCAGTGCCCCCGCAATGGGCCCCACCCAGTAGACATAGTGATATTCCCAAATATTGAAATACAGGTATCTGGAGTAGGATGCAGACGGTCCTAAACTTCTTGCCGGATTCATAGATCCACCAGTATATGGTGCCCTGTTGTAAATGTGTAAATTACTAGTAACTTTCAAAGCATGCCAGTTTGAGCTCAGTTTGATTTAGTGCATTCCTTTAAATATCTGAATATTGTTGAAGTATTCAATCCTGAGCGAAGCCTCATCACTGGATGTCATCAAAAATCACTATGGACTTTCATGATGTGTTTTATAGGATTATATTAATCCTGATAAGAATATGCAATATTTAACATGTTCATTGTTAAATGAAAATTGTTTTCGTCTTATTTACTTATCTTGTCATTTGTAATTTGACAATTATTTTATTAAAAGCAATTTAATTGTACACATAAGTACTCTGAAGTCGATATTAAAAAGATACTTGAGTTTCTGATTGACAATGCCTATCTGGGTGTTGGACACTCGGCCTTTGTGTAAAATAATCTGTTGGAATTTCCATGGGTACCAATTACGCACTGTTATTAGCAGACTTAAGTTTTGTATTGATATGAAGCAGGATTCATTCAAAATCTTAAACATGAGAAAAAGAAAACACTTACTGAAGCTTTCAATTCAACATTTAGATATATCGAAGACGCACTATCAATTAACAGAAATTATTTCCATTCATATACTAGTATCCCATTGAGCTTGAAATGAAGGATACCACAGAGTCTGACACATGTGCTTCATACTTTGATATCTTACAAGAAAAAGATGTGAATAGCAACCACACAATAAAGCATAATGAATGTGAACACTTACTTTTCAATCGTCAACCTGTCTTACTTATGCAGCAATATATGAAAAATATTTATTACCAGTACATCATTTGTCTTTAAATCTTACCCTGACAGGGCACATGCGATGAAAGAGAATCCAATAGCTAGAGGTGACATTTTTCTCTTCTTTTTATCCAGCGTTGTGAGTAAAACAATGAAAGTAACTATAAACGTAAGGATGCCCTCTATCAGAACTGCCCAGCCAGGTTCTGTCTCATTTATAAGCATTGTTGCTCCACCGATGAACTGCGTGTATTTATTCGTCGGAACAGCAGCCTTAAAAATGACAATTTAGAAATGGAAATAACGTTTGTTGTTTTGAACTCAAAATTAAAATGTCAACAACTAAACGCACTTCGCCTTCTCAAAGTTCGAGGCGAGAGAGAAAGAAACAAGTTAAAATTAACCAGTTATTTAATGGAAGGTTAAAAAATATCCACTTTCCCTTTATGTGATACATGCATGATAAATGATAAATAAATATTGCATGCAGTTAAGTGTAACATTGAAATTTTTCACCCCACGAAAACCAATTTACATTAAAGTATAATATTATATAATAATACATACAAGGGCCAACGCTCCTCCTATGAGGCCTCCCCCTATCTGAGCAATGAAAAAGCATACTGCAACAAGCACAGGTAGCACACGATTCAAAGTCAGAGCGAATGTTATGGCTGGGTTAAAATATCCGCCGCTACAAAAGAGTCATCAGCTATTTTGAAATTTACTAAATATGCACAACAATTATTATTAGAAAAAAAATCTTAGTATGAAAATTCAACTATGGGGGGGGGGGGAAATAATGACCACCAAATTGATTTCATTTGGGAAAATGTTCAACTACCCAAATCATAATTTTCACTTATATCATCATATATAGAACATTTATTCTAGTTTAACTTCCTTTAAGTTGCTATAAAATTTGCAATCAGAAATAGTTTCAGATTTTTAAGTAGTAGAACTTTTTTTTCTGAAAAATGAAAATATCACTACATCCTGAGAGACTTTCTAAAAAACAATATCGAAAGATTTTTTAATGCTTCAAAATGGTAACAGGGCTATAAGTGATTAAATATAAACATTGATTTAGTTTCTTCTCTTGTGCATGTGAAAAAATAGTTGCTGGTTGTAATTTTACATTATTTTTAAATTCTGAAAGGTTTTTTATATGAAAAAATATATATGAAACAATGAATTCCCCTAACATCACTTTTTTGTCTATTAAAATCATTTTTTTTAATTTTATTTGCTGATAGACATAATATTTTATAACATTAGACAGTAGCATTTGCTTGTTTGTTTGTTGTTTTTTTTTTTTTTATAAATTTACTTTTATTAAATATACATGAAGATCAATCATAATTGTTACACAGTTTTGTTGCACTCCTGACTGCAGTAAAATTTAAAAATAAGGCCATAGAACACAAAACATCATGAAGTGTTGGCAAAATTAAGGTGGAATGCCACACCAGCTTTTTATTTGATAAATCTTTGAGTCATCCTTTTAAAACAAGGGTTTCAGCATTGAAAGGTCGATATTAGCTCTCAATTATTCTATATGAATTTTTTTGTATTTTTTCAAAAAAAATGAAAAAAATTAATTGTATCCAATTAAGATGTTTTCGAGTTTAAAATTTGCTGTAAATGGATGTATCATATTAATATCTAATAAAATATGTAAAGAAAGGCTGGTTAGAATTTTCAATTTTTTAAATAAAAATTATTTTTGAAAATAAAACACATTATTTGTGAATATTTTTTAAACCTATGGTTAAAAACACCATAAAACTAGTCACAACTGAGGAGAACATGTTTGTCAATCATATTTTAAAAAGAAATTGAAATGAAATTGAGAAATTTTAGAGAAATTAATTTCTTTAATATTTGGACCTAACCCGATCAAAGTTAAACTGATCCCGATCGAAATTAACACAAAATGAAAAACTACTTACTTATTGCCTCTTCATGTATTTACAATGAAAAAATCTATATTATTGTCAAGTTCAATAATGTTTTAACCCTTATTACACCTAATCAGACTAGTGTTCTTGGGTAAATGTTATTTATTTCCAATACTTGTACAATTATGGTTGAGATCGGTTTAATTTTGATCGGGATTGGCCAAAATTAAAAAATATAATTTTTCTAAAATTTAGCTATTTTGTTTCAATTTCTCTTTTAAATATGATTAACGAACATGTTTTCCCCAGTTGTGACTGGTTTTAAGAAGATTTTAATCACAAGTTTGAAAAATATTCACAAATTATGTGTTTTATTTTCATAAATATTTTTTTATTAAAATTTTTTAAATATCTATACGGCTTTTCTTCACATATTTTATTAGATATTAATGTGATGCACTCATTTACAGCGAAACTTTTACAAGAAATCGTCTTATTTTGATGTAAATATTTTTTTCATTTTCTTTGAAAAAATACCAAAAAAATCATATAAAATAATTGAGAGCTAATGTTGGCCTTTCAACACTGAAACCATTGTTTAAAAAGGTTGACTCAGAGATATGTATAATATAAAAATTTGGTGTGGCATTCCTCCTTAAGTAGTAACGAACTTATGCGATATTTATAGCCCAATACTTCATTTTTAAAAAAAGCATGAAAGTTTTTTAAACTTGCTATATATTTTAAATTATCCTTATTTATGTAAAAAAGAAAACCAAACTAGCTAAAATATATATTAAGAAGTAGAATTGAGCAGCACAAATTACATAAGAACTTGTTATTTTGTTTCCTTGAAGTTCAAGGGGAATTGTTTGAATCTAATAACAATTTTCAGTGCTTTTTGATATTTCATAATAAAGAAAAAACATATCTTACTGGTTGAAATTTAAAAAGAGAACGATTTTGGTAATAAAACTGCCAATAATTTAAGAAGTTATTCAAATAGATCATTATTTTTTAAAGATTTTTTTCTTAACATGAATAGAAGTTTTCTCAACATATAACCTTGAGTCTTTAAAAAAACCTGTTGCACTCAAAATTTCATGCAAATCTAGTTCATCTGAAGCACAGAAAAACCTTGTAATTGATAAAAGTACTAGCATTTGGTAAAAAAATTTCTGTGTGTCATTATTTTCCATACTAAAAATCAGAAAATCATATAGTGATAAAAATTTTGTCATTTTTTAGACAAAACATCAAATGTTGCACACCTGACAATAGAGGGTACATGTACAGATACTCTCATTAATGCAGTCTTGTAATTTATCTAACATTTTAAAGTTTTAATGTATATATCAGTTTAATTTTATACTTTGAAAATTTTTTTTTTTAACTTGAATGTTTTTCAGATTTTCAAAATCTATATTTTTTGGCAACAATAATTTTTTTATTCCAATGTTGACATGGTCACGTACAGCATTTTCTCTCAACATCAGTTATTACCACAATTTGGTTAAACAATAGTTGCTGAATTTTAAAACAAAAGGCTTTGTTTTAAACATAAACCATTATAATTTATTTCACAGACCTTATAAAAATATTTAGTTTTAAGATTATTACCAAAAAATGTTGCACTCCTGACATTTTAGCTTTATTTTTAGGTGTCACTTTTTTATGTATTGAGATATCAATGAAAATTGGCATGTATATGGACCCTATCTAAGGACTTATG